TCTTTCCCATCCATGGACCTGCTTAGACAGATGCACTTCTGAAATATTGTAAAGACTTTCTCTAGCTCTATGGATATTACTTCACTGAGTGGTTTGTCCCCTATATGCACCTGTGAAAGATGATTCATAGATACATCTGGATATCCCCACGTAGGAGCCTGGAGGGTTTTGGCCTTTGCAAACTTTCTTTCACGACTGTGTGCTCATAGGAAAATTTGGATGTGTTACATCTATCCCCATCGAGTTCTCCTTCAGCCTAAAGGACGCAGGCAGCTTAATTTGCTTCATTTGCCAAACTATTTGACACGATATCATAAAAATGTGACACGCTGGAAAGCTACCAAAAGATTGAAGTTTATTTCCTACTCAGCTGTAGGTTAATGCTTCTGTCCCTATGGCAGCAGTTGCTTGTAATGAGCTGTACACACAAAAAATTCAGCAGTTTCCAGATAAAGCTTTCCCCTGATGCCGCCTGCAGTACAATTTTGGTGAAATAAAAATGGCATCTTTGTTGTCAGAGTGGGAGTTACGGGATTTGTCCTGATGGCAATAATTGCCTATTCAGCATCTGGCACTGCTGAAGTGTATTTTGGGACCTCCCCTCTGTCTTTTCCACTGTGTGGAGCAGTGGGGAGCTATAAAGACATTTTTCACAGGACCACTGCCCTTGTTTCCCATTGACCCAATTCACAGCCCTCAATAGGATTAAATGGCATGATAAGAAAAAAGCTTTACATTCTGAAGTTGTAAAACTGACCCTCTCCCCCTTCAAGAAGACCCCTGAGGAAGACGAATATATTGGCCTCAACTGGAACAGATGTCAAAACTCAAAACAGCTCTTTCTTCATAAAGTTTATAAGTATTTTTAAAGGAGGTGGAGGAGGCTTACTATACGCAGTAAGATAACATTAAAATGCACAGCTTCTCAGGAGTTGAAAGGATGCTTTTCCTACAAACTCTCTCTTCTCTTTATCTTATCTGCATGGAAAGTAAACAGAAAGTCGCCATTACCTCTCGATATCAGTGAGTCTGGAAGAGTCACGGAATCCTTTAGCAAAAGGGTTGCTGTCAATTTTCAACTTGGTTATCTGGAAACACAGAAAAGAGCAATACAACATGAGCATAGTGTTAAGGTATTGCAGCATAAAAAGTGTTAACCAATCCATCCTTCTGACTTCACTGCTAATTTTATCCATGTTCCTTGTGTGTGTGCATGTGTGCTGCTCTTCAGGCACTGCAAAGCTGAAGAGGCAAACCAGGGTGTATTACACATATGGCAATGGAAAGACCAAAGTCCACATCAGGTTCAGCCTTCATGTTGCCCAGAGCAGGAGGAACCCACCCACATACAGCATTACTGCTTCCAAGTACTTTAACAGCATCAATCAGGTTGTCTTTTCCACACACAATACAAATCACCCTGCTAATATCTGAGCCTTGTTGGTGGAGCTGCACATCAGCTAATATGAGCCCAGACTAGGAGCAGCCACCTGGAAACCTGAAGATGTGGCTTCAGTTCAGCACCACTTTTTTTTTTTTAAAAAACTGGAAGTGTTCTCAGCCAGGCCTACCAACCACCACACAGGGGCAGTTTAACTGGTTTTGTAGGAAGTGAAATAAAGGAAGGGAAGGAAAAATGTGGGGAGAACTCAGATTTAAAGTGTCAGAGCCTGGTTTAAAGGAGTAGCCCCAATGAAACTATCACAGTTCTGAAAAACCAGAGACCTTGCAATCAAAACTCTCCTCCCATCTTCAAAGGCAGCTACAAACCTGCCCAGTCATCCTTCTCGTTCTGACAGAACAACTCCCTGCCCAGGAGTCCATCTGGCCCAAAGCTTCAGACTCCCCTTAACTTTGCAGCAAAACTTTTCAGGTATATAGCAGTGGCTTTCAATATGTTTTTGGGAGGAACAGGAAAAAAATACACCATTATCTTTGTGAAATTTTCTATCTGTCCAACCAATTTAAATTTGGTGATAAAACCTGAGAAATCATCATAATATTTGACTTTTCCAGCCATACTTCTTCTAAGAGTTAAAAATAAAATTGTTAAGTGGGAGTTACAGCTTGGCAAGGGACAACACAGGACCCATCCTGCAAAGCAGTGAATGACACCAACTCTAGATTATGTCCATGAAAATCAACAGGTCTCAACATTTCAAACCCAGCAGCTATATCAACCTGACTTGCCTCAAAAAAGTCTGTATTGAAGAGGCTACGACCTCATTTTAATAGCTGGTCCTCAAGACAGAGAGGAAAAAAAAAAGGATCTTTTCCAAGTCCTCAAACAATCAAACACTCCCATCAAACAAAGGTATTTCAAAATGGGGTGGCTTCTCCTTCAAAATAAAAATAGAAAAAGAAAGAGGACAACTAACTCAACTTGTAATTCTGAGAAAGAGGTCTTCTGGAAAGGAAACAGAGAGGAAGTGACAGGCTGACAAAGACAAAACCTGAATTCTTATCTAATGGTCTGCAGTGAATTGGTCAAACACCATGGCACCTCAGTGCTGGCTGAGGGTTTGAGGCTGTCTCATTATGCAGGTACAACTGGGGGAAACAACCCTGAAGCCTTTTCACAAAGACCTTGCAACAGCTCAGCAAGTTACTTATAGTCATATTCTGCTTCCAAGATATCCCTCGCCTCATGATGATGTTGCAAGGAATGGCAGGCTATTGCCTCACGTACAGTGAACATTTTTATGGCAGCATTCTGAAAACTACCGTGAAAAAAAGACAAGCTCTAACTAGTTCCATTGACTGAGATCACTAACACACCAAGCCAACTGCACTGCAGAATAATAAGGATGTCTATTCATCTCTTGAGCATACTTTCACCAATCAAACTTCCATTTTCCTAATATTAAAGTTTTGGTATGACATCACAAGAGAAACTTTTTGTATCCACCAAAGCCAGATGAGATTCACAATCATTTATGGCCATATTTTTCCTGAGAGACTGTCTCACAAACAATCAGAGAACATCTGCTAGAAAGCATTTTAAAATGAAATCTGACCTACAATTCAACTCTGTGGCACTGGTTTGACTGTTTAAATAAATGCATGCCCTTTAAATCTTAAATTATGAGATAGTTTGTTGAAAGTGTAATGTATTTAGCTTTTATCTAATAACCTCCAGAAATGTAATCAATCCCTCCTTAAAACAGTTCTGAAAGAAATGGCAAAAATGAAAAAAGGCTCCATTTTCATTAGTCATAAATAAAATGACAACATCAACCTCTAGGGGTTCCGGAGATGTTCCATTGAGAAATTTTCCAGGACTCAATATATGTGCTTCGGGAAGGTTAGTTTAAAAACATCTCTGGTGTAAATATCGTTGGTAGACACAAATCTATCCTACAGAAATAAATTCCAGGTTTAGCCGGTTTTGTGCCTGTTACTATTTTGCTGGTTACATGGAAAAATCTAACTGCCTGCCCAAACATTATATTCTTGAGACTGCCATGTGCTGAATGTGTTTTCTGCAGCATTCAGATACAAAGCTGTGTTTAAAATCAATACATTAAAGCCTTAAAACAGGATGCGGGGTCTGTCATAAGGACTGACATAAATACTGCTATTATCTTCAGTGCTTCCTGAGCCCTTTATGCAGTAGTTTCATTTTATTCATGGCATTTCAAAATTAATTACTTTTGCTTCATATTAAGAAATGACAACTTATTTAAATAATCCAGGAGGTGCATTGATTCTGTGATGGTGCCTGCCCACGTGTTTGGACAGTACTTATATTTTTCTCAACTTGGGGAAACTAAAGAAGGAAATAGGTGTTTTTTTGAAGTGCCATAGTCATTAAGCCATTAAAACACACTCTGGATCAGACTGAACCCAACAACATACTTCCACTGACTGAAATATTAAAGCACAATCTACTGTCAAGCAGAGCCTCTGCTCTTTGATTTTTTATAGACTTCCTAAAATTACTCATTAGCAAATCCATTGTTATGATCTCCTCCATTTTGTGTATATTATTCACTGGCATGCAAATTGAAATGCAAACATCTGGATGTAATCTGGGCAGCCTCTGAAAAGCGTATCTCTGAGTGATTTTCCTTACATTTGAGCCTTACAGCTTAATTAGTCAACTTTTTAAGCCCATGAAATCATCATGTGCAAACCAGAATATCTCTCAGCTTATAGCTTGTGGCATGAAAGATCACTGCAAATAAGAACAGTTCCTTAATGATCTATAATTAGAAAATGACTAAATGTTAATATGCAAACAGCTTTGTTTAGACAGAGGGAAAGACAAAAGAAAGCCTCTTTTACTCTTGTCTTTACTCTTGTGAATAATACTTATGGCTTTTTGAAGTCAGTAGTACTACCCATATATGTATAAATTACTCCTGAATATGAATAAGATTGGCATTGAAAGGTAGGTTAAATCAGAGACTTTCCTAATTTAGATTGGACAAAAGGGAGTCTTCAGCAGGGTGAAATTTACTTACATCTGTGGAAATTAGCAACTGTACTTACCAACTGATTCTGGTAGGCGGTAACAGCAGTGAAAACGGTCTCTGGAAAGATAAATGTCCTGAACTCTTCTGATTTCAGATTCAGCAAAGAAGCAGTGTGATCCTTCTTCTTAATGATGTGGACCCTTGGCTGGTACTTGTGCATGGAGTTCAAAATGATCTGCAAGAAAGAGTGACATGGTACTGTCCTGAGAGGAAGGCTGAAAGGACCTTCAAAGGCTATAGAGCTGTGGTGGGAAAAAAAAAAAATAAATCTAGTTAACACTGCAGGAGAAACACCTGAAATCTAACCAGCCAGGGGCTTGTTTTCAGAGCAAACTCTCCAGCTCCTTTGGGCAGTTCCAGGAAACAAAGGTGGAAAAGCAGGCTTCCAAGGAGCTAGTCTCCTCTCACTCCTATGCCACTGATGAGCATCCATTTCTTTTAAGCATAAATACCTGTTCCTACAGGTGAGGTGCTTTACATACAGAATTAGTTACTGCTAGAGTGTGCCCCAGTTTGCAGATGTAAATACGCAGCTCCTGAATGTTAATGACCAAGGATACACACTTGCAAAAAAAGCACAGGTGCAGAATGAAAACAGCCACAAATCCCCCAGAAAAAATGGCAGAAAATATAAGACCCATCCAAAACCCCACCACCAGCAGCAGCACAAACCGGCTGACCAAAAATAAAACTCCAAGATCCTTTCACTGTGGCAAACCTTTAAAACAAACTACTTCATAGATGCTCTTCACCGCAGACTACCAAAAATGAGAGCAAGGAGGGAAACCAGTACAGAACCCCAAACTGACCAGGTGTTGCTATTTTATCCTCATTAATAATTGTTTACGAGCTTGCAAAACAATTCTAAACCTAAGGTACCAACTAACCAATTTCAACGTTCACTGGAGTCAAACCGAGAGTCCCACTTGCTTAAGTTACCACTGGCTGGAGGCCTGTTTGGCTGCCTCTAACCACAGTATTACAATATAAGAATTAAATACAGAGCTCGGCTCACACCAGCCCTTGTTTTGGATATAATCACAGTCACAAGACAAAATTGGCAATGGTGTGGGTGGTTCTATTTTGCAGGGACCATAACGACATTACAGTCAGCTCCGTACATCTGGAATAGCTAATGTGCATTCCTCAGGAAGCGTTAACTTCAGCTGAAACATAGCAGAAGTGGTGCAGTATTTCATGCTAACTCAGTCAATGAGAAAGGTTGCACATTGCTTTGGAGTGGAGGGCTCAGAGACAGCTCCATCATGGCTCCAATTTCCATCAGCTTTTTCTTCACTGCTCCTTTGGGGCCAAGACTCGCACTGGGACCTTGTAGGGAGGCACACAGTGACAGCAAAGGCATTACAGTGATGGGGAATCATTCTCCTAAAAGTGTTGCTTGTCTGCTTTTACCAGCTCAAGTCCTTTCTCAAAGCACTTCATTTTATATACACACATACACAATGGCCATGGACTTTGCCTTTTATACCTTTAGCACTTTTTCCTCTCTTTGTAAAATTTTGTCTTATAATCCAAGTCACTTGTGCTGCTCTAAGCAGATGGAAAAGACATTTTAAAGGAGGGTGTGTGGATGGTGATGAGCTTACTGAGGGGTTGGCCCACAGACCTTGGTGTTTTCCATTGCCTTTCAGGGCCGTGACATCCACACCAAGGCATTACATATGAGCAACAGCCAAGCAAGCTGTGACAGAGCAGGTCCCACAGATGCCCTTTCCTTTCACTCCTCTGTGAATGCAAATTATGATAAAGAAACTGCCTTTCTCAAACAAGACTACGTTATCCCTTGCGAAAATTTTCCAAAAACAAAAGCATACAGGGATAACATCCCGTCATGATTCTGTACCTTGCTTGTTCCCACCAGAGGCAAGTCTGGTCATTCAGGTACAAAACAACTACTGAGTGTAGCCATGAGGCCATGAAAGACACATGGCTAAGGTTAGGGTCACTGTTTCCTTTATGTGAGGGTCTGTATGTGTAATGCTGCAACTTCACACACACACCGTCCCCCCCAGGCTGCCAATGTTGCAGTACTCACGGATATTAAAGTGAGCATGATAAATGCACCAAGATACCCCTTAAAAATATTCATATAACTTCATGTGTTAGGGCCATCAAAACAGCCTAAAGGAGTTAAATACGCAGAGTGCACATCACAGAGTAGCCTCCAGGAGTGGTCTCCAAGCAGTCCCCCATCTGCATGGAATAGCTATCAGAAAATCCCTGATGTCAGCTCTGCAATACTCATGCTGGCACACTCTGAGAGAAACATCAGGTGCACATATACTTGTAGCAGTCCCCTGGCACATGCTTGCTGGCAGACACAGGTCCCCAGCTACCCCATCTACCTTTGTGCTGACAGCTTGCAGCAGGGGAGATGACCAGGATCCCTCCTTACAGGACCCTGTTTGCTGTAAGGTCAGGCAGGTTTGTAGGCATCTGGCTCCCACTGGCTACAGACCAGTTACCAAAGGCAATCTGGATGCCAGCTGCAAATTTCCAAGGTAGTTTTGAATTCAGGAACTGTGCTGTGAATGCTGCTTCTCTATTAATGAAAGAATAGCATTACCAGGCAAAGCTTTCTTTCTAAAGACAAGAAGGTTCCTAACTTCTGCGAGATTGAGTCTAAAAAACCCTGGACATAACCTCCTGTGATTATTCCAAAACCCCTGCTTTCAGTTTCTTGTTGGTCGTGCTCATACATTTGTGTTCGCTTTTGCACACATTCATGTGTTTAGGTTTTGCAATTGTAAATGCCAGAAAAGCAATTACAATGATGTATACACTTATGGTTCACCTCACCATAAACCAGAAGCGATGCCACCCCAACTAAGTGCGACCAAAAGTCTTAAAGAAAGCACTCTGGTTGAAAAACGTCACCAGAAATCTGGAAAATAAGTTACATTCATAAATATTTCACAACCAGAAAAATGGGAATTACTCGCTTGGCTGTAAAAATCCAGAGACAGGAGCCGTTTCCTTCCTCTGGTAAGGATATCTGAAAGTGTTTCCATGGAGCGAGCTGTATGTCATGCACACAGAGATAAGACTTCTGCTTGATGTTTGGAGAGAATATGTGCATAGCTATGGGGTTACACATGTTGCCAAAGGTACACAAGGGAAAATGCTTGCCAGCTCCAAAAGTCTCAGAATAAGAGAAAACAAACAAATGCTAGAACAAATGCCTCTCTTCTCTTCAGATTCCTTTTCAGGAAATGAACCACCCTACAAATAAAACACTGCAATTACCTTAACAACCAAAACTGTCTTCTGGAGGATGGAGAAAGCAAGCAACTAGAACAACTGGAATCAGGTTGGATCCAGCTTCATTACCTATGACTAGTATTTAAAGATGTCTTTTAGATCATCAAAACTTCCTCAAGAACCAACATGTCTTATCAAACATAATTAAATATTTCTCACTGGTAAGGACTAGGTCTTTCAAACTGAAAGGAGAGATTTCAGGAGGTGTTTCAATTCTCTCCTTCTTTGGATACACAGGAGTTCAGAAATGCCATGGGCCATAGCACAGTGAACCCTCCTTAAAGGCTCCAGAGAATTAATTTCTTCCTTAATTTTATTCAATGATGGTATTTGCATAGCTTCAATAAAACAGCACATAAAACCTGGTATCTTAATTTGGAGCATAAAAAAACCCACAAAATATTAGATAAGGAGTGCTCTGTGACGGTGAAACACCTGTCACGCAAGTCTCGACACAGGATCAAGCCTTCAGGGTTTATTCTTAACTGAACATGCAAAACTTTCCATCTGCATTGGCTGTCCAGAGCTTTTGTGTAAAAAAACGAGATGAACCTCTGCTGCTCCTCTGGAAGTTAATGGGAAGGCCACATCTCAAACACTACAGATCATTTTCTCCTACTGTCTGCATCTGAGACGATTACATCTTCTTGCTGTCACATGTCTCTGTTCCCGATAGCTTCTCAGACCTACTTCTTTATACTCGTCTGGGCTTCTGGGAACTGCATTGCTCCTAACTAGCTTGCAATATACTGCTGCAAGCCCTTTATTAGAGGCACACATGGCCCCTGTTATGATGAAAAATGCTTCTTTTTAAGTGCGCACGTATACTGCTCTATCATCACTCGGTGATAGAGCCCACAAATCTTCAGCTTTGCCCTTCTACAGATTATGAAATAAAAGAGAGAAAAAAAAAAAGACATTCTCCACTAGCCATGAAGGGAACAACAATGGGAACTATATTCAAGAAAAATATATCCACAGATGGATCTTTTCAGAAGAACAACACAGAGGCATTCGTCTGGGCTTTTTGTTAGTTTGTTTGGGATTTTAGCTACTTTTGTTGTTGTTATTGCTAGGATGTATTTTAAATTATTATGATTGTGATTCAATTCTCAGGTCTTGAAACGAGTAAAAAATCTGTTTTGGGAGAGAAGCATTTGCATAGAACACTGTCTCACACAGTCCAAAAAGGCAGTAAATACCAGACTAGGGAAGGGGTTTGTGATATATTGTATGCCACAATTATTCAGCTGTACAAATTATTTACCTCTGCCCATGTTGTAGAATTCAAGATCCCTCCTCTCTTCCCAACACCTCGTTTACTAACGCTATCTTTATGCTCATTCTCCTGAATTGCCCTGTTCTCAGCCAACAGCCCTTTCAAATCTGTTCCCCTGCTCCTTCTGCCTTCCCTGGGAGAACCTCTGAGCCCAGAGCCAACACTTTTAGCTCTTTCTTTGCAATTTAGAGGCACTACTAAGTTATCTCTGCACCTTACAGGCACTTTTAGAGAGAGGACAGGACAGACAATGCCTTTTCTTACCACCTACCATTAGTCAGGTAACTAAAGGAGGTGTTCCCACTAATGGAGCATAGCAAGAACTCATGGCCAGCGGGTCTGCAGCCTATTTACCAGCTTCTAGCCTCAGGGCTTGTAATAATAAACTGGCACCAGTCAAAGCTGGGACCTGTCTCCTTTAGAGGCCCAAGTCCACCTTGTGGCACCTTGACTTGCAGGTAGCCTATGGTTATTTCAAGGGCAACTGAAGCACACTCATTTTTATAATTCTGTAGACCTTGCTTCGGTGTCACATCAATATTTTCTTCTGAGTCTGTGCCCATGCCATGATGCGTCTGAAAATAAAAGAGCTCTTATTGATGGGCCAAACTGTAACAGGTTGCCCACAGTGAGAGGGAGCTTCCAAGCACACATGTAAAAGCACATGGGGCTCCTAGCTAGTGCGCGTGGCAGAGCATACTGTCAAGTCAGCAAATTGCAAGCAGAAGCAAGACAAAATGCTCGTCTTCCTTCCTTCTGTCTCTCACTTTGATGCTCAACTCCACCCTAAACTTGTCCCAGATGGGTATTCTGCCTCTGATGGCAGCAAGAGCATGATTTGGACCATTGTCCCAGGTGCTACCTTATGAATGTAAAAAATCCCTGATATTTGAAGCTGCCTGTTCCTCAACAACAGAGGAACACAAAGGGACCCTAAAACTTGTTCAACCAAACATGTTCAAGCTTCACACAATGTTTTCCTCCACTGTGGAACAAAGGTCTGGCCACGAGAGGTGTAACGTGGGGGCTGTGACAGCCTTTCCCCATTGCAGTCTCTTTCCAATAAGCTTAGCCCTGTGGCACAAACCAGTGATTTCCCTATGGCAGTTCCTTTACCCATTCCCACCAGGAGGGCTACTCACATGGCCATGCTGATCCAGCTCATTGTTGGTGAGTTTGACTTTTTCGAAGGACACCATCTGCTTCAGCAGTTGCTCTCCTGTGAATGGGGAGTCAGGATGCACATACAACCTAAAAAAACACAGGGAAAAGCCTGCTTATAAAAAAATATCACCTCTTGGCTTGTACTTGGGCACCACCTCTGTATGAGATTAAAAAGTCCATATGATCTTGCTTTTGGGATATGCAGTGGTTTCACTGACATGGGTTTCCTGAGAGCTTAGGGCAATACAAATCTGCAGCTAGAGCAAGATACCATTTCCCCCGAATTAATGAATGCCTGAAATAAAGCTATTCATGAAAGACAGTAAAGCAGATGACTTATTTAATTCACAGGAACATAATGAAGAATCCAGTGTCTCAGTGCTAGACTGCTCCCTAACCATACCTATTATTTTATCCAGTTATCTAAAATGGAGACATTAACTAACATTCACTGTTGTGTCTTTTCCCAAATGAAAAATTGATCATGTCTTCCCCCACAACTGTACTAACAAGCACTTAAAATAACAATGACTACAGCTCCAAGAGAAAAAACATGGTGTCATTACAGAGATAATGGGGGAATGTAGATAAAAATGCATTTTTCTTTATGTGTAACATTAAGCCGTGATAATGATTTTAACCTGCACTCAATCACACGTTCACCGTGGTGACGTCTGTTTATAAGAGGTTGAAGGCTATAGTCCAGCACAGTGGTCTGACATGAAAAATTAATTGCAGCTCTGTAATTAACAATCCACCACTTGGGAAATTAAGCAGAAGAAAAGGAAGTAAAAAGACCTAGAGATACAATGATATATACATTATGACTAGATTAGTTACAAGTGCCAGGCTATTTAAAAACAATTATTTTATAGGAATAGCTTATTGCTGAAAATTATTCACTCAAATGTTCTTTTGTGATAGTGAATTAAGAGCTGGATTAGACCTTCAGCTAGCGCAAACCAGTCCTCCTCTACTTCTCTCTGCATTGGCTATCACTCACTGAGGGCCTTACTCTCATTTTGGGTTCTGCCTTTGGCCACACAAATGGATTTCTTCCATTGGGTGGGTGGGGCAGCACTGAGATGCCAGGTTAGAAAGATAAACATTTGTTCTTGTTGTTGAGCTACGATTTTAGAATGGAAAAACCACTAAATGATGGGGCGTAACTCTGATAGACTACACTGGTCCCTAATCACTGAATGCCCATACAAAAGATGCTGGGGAGCACAGCTCTGTTGCTCAAAGAGGGAGGAGATTTGATCCTTTATTCTCTGTTTTTGCCAGCAGAATCCCCAAGACCCAGTGGAACAAAAATTTTACTGACATGGCTCGCTTCAGATGTTTAGGATGTTTTCCTTACACTGATCCGAACCACAGCTTGTCTGCTCTAGCTATGTCCATGGAAGGGGTACTAAGCCAGGATTCCTGTCAGAATAAAATATTCCTAGCATGCAGACGTCCTCACTGCTATTGACTCTGCTGATTGTACTGCAAAGCTCATGAAAAATGATGCTGTATCTCATGACCTGGAATCCTGTTACGTCAAAAGAATTTTAGCTCTCATGAAAACTGACTTTTGCCTTCCTCTAAAAAATCCTAAAAATCTCAATTTTAGAAGCCCAAATTATAAATGACAAAACAGAAATAGTTCCATATATGTTCTACAACTTTTCAGCCAGCCTTGTGGTATTTTTTTCTGGAGCCTGACTCCTAATTTTGAATGTCTGGATAGCGAATAATATTTACTGTGATCACAGAATGTCAGACTCAGCAAGGTTTGGCTAATTGGGACCAAAAAGCCAAAGTATTTCAAATATGTGCTGGGGAATGAGTAAAGACCTTTGTGTGTCAAAAAGCTGAGCACAATTGTTTTACACCATCGATGGCTAATGTTTGACACTGCTTTCAAACTACCCAGTGCCTGGACATTGGCAGAGTGCTAACAGGAAAGTCGCTGAAGGATGAGAACAGGAATATCCGTTACAGAAATATAATAGGCCTTACTTCTCTTTACCCATTTACTACACACCATCAATCCCACTGCAACATGTGGCTCCACCTGTTGAGCTCCACCTATTTCACACACTTCTGCTACAGCCCGAGCTTGTACACCTCAGAGAAGAGGATTGAAAATTAGATGTATCACTTTCTGAAGCAGAAGTTGTCAGCAAGACCACAAGAGAGCACAAGCAAACGGGTTAGAGAGAGAAATGTGCATGTTCCAGTGCAGCACACAAGGCTTCCTCAGAAGTTTATGCAGGCTCTGCTGTCACAGCCAGCCAGATGTGAGTGGCTGCTCGATTAATTCATAAAGGCTTTAGGAGCCATATTTTGGTGTGAATTTGCCCCACAGTATATAATGTTTCATGATATATGCAGGGTTTGGGTACTGCTTCCTTCTAGCATATTTTGGAATGCGACACTGCACTCCTATTTAGCTCAACAGTTGGTCTGGCCCCACAAGTCTCATGCATGCTACTTGAAATTACTATAA